GAAAAATCGAGAAGAAAGGGGGGAATAAGCAAGCAACCAATCATCTGATGCAGCCAAGGCAGCACTGGTCTGTTCAATTCTCCTCAAATTAGCGGTTATAGCATGCTCAATGAAGGGCCTGAAGTGTCTGAATAACACTGGCGTCAGGGCCAACCCACGAGCCTCCAGAAGAGAGCAATGCCCCATACATATCTGCACACACTCAGCTGCAATTCTCATGCTCCCCACAGCAGCCGATGAAGCTATGACATACCTTTTCAGGAACATAGCAAAAGAATCCGTTTGTCTCACAGACCAAGTTACCAACTCCGAGGCATAAGCTGGCTCTTCCCCGAACACTCCCAATGAATCACTTGCTGCTTGAGAAATGGTTGAGAATACAAACTGGGATATTGCAGCCGTGTATATCCCGCTACCCGTGTTCCCCGACGCCCGAAAACTCTGCAAGCTGCGCTGCAGCTTCTGCTGATGTGAATTCAGCAGCAACATGTGTGCACGGGAGCCGTCCCCGAGCTTCTTCAGAGCCTGAGCAGCAGACCGAAGCTCCACTCCTCGTGTTGAAGGTTGGGAAATTGTTTGCTCCAAGAGACAAGCCAGTTTGTGTCTTTGGTTTCTAATGGCAGTATGTAATGTGGTGAGTGCAGCTGTGCTCAACGACCTCCGACGATTCGTGTCTTCAGCGATCCGTTCCCCTTCGTCTAAGGCAGCCAGAGCTTCGTCCATTCTTTTCTCAACCAACAGAACTTCAAGGCTGTCCAAGAACTCCACCAGCCATTCATCTTTATTGGGGAGCTGACTGCTCTCGTTGGAAGAATGGTCTACAGTTGAAACTTCAATATCTCCAGACAGAGATTCAATGCTGTTTCCTTCTGTTAGACCATGAATGAGAGCTGCCTGAGTGGATAAATGGTTTCTTAGTAGGAGTAGCTCTCCTTCAAGATCTGAAATCTCTCGAGATGTACTGCAAGGATTAAAAGAAGAACCAAACCAAACCAAACCAAACCCATCAGAGAGCTACAGAAAGGACATTGAAAAGCATCATATTTGAAGAACAAAAGAAGAAAGGGGAAATGATTGGAATTGCTCGCCGAATGAAAGCTCCATAATTGGCGTAAACACTTTTGCGCATTTCCTCTGCAGAGGCCTTCTTGAGCTCGATAAGGTAAGAGCATAAATGCTTGATTTCCTGATGAATGATTAGAATTTAGAAAAAGAAGAGGGAGATAAAAGAAGGGTGGGTGGGTACCTTCTCGGTCATGGCTTGGCATTTGGAGGTGACATAGGAATCAATGTCGAACTTGGAGGTCTTGAAGCCCTTTAATCTATCGCTGAGTGGTAGATTTGCTTCCATTTCTGAGGAGTCTCCTATGCTTGAGAATGGTCCTCTGGTAAGCGACGAATAGGCCGCAGAATCCATGTTTTCTTGATGGGGGGGAATCAAATTTCAGAAGGAAATGGAAGAGAATTGGGAGGGAATAGAAAGAATGATTTATGAATGGAAATGGGTTGACGCCATTGATGGGAATGTGGAAAGATCCAAATCAGATGAAAATTTGCTTCGATTCAGACAGAGAATGATCCGCTGAATTGGTTATGCCCGGTGAGTTTGTTATGGCTTATTAGTTATATATATATATTTAACCTTTTTTTTTTAATTTAGTCTCAATCATAAAAAAAATACCTTACACTTTTGTCTTAAAATTATACTAAAGTTTCAATTCTACCCTAATTTTTTACAAATGTTTACCTTTTTTATTTGTATTTTTTTTTTCTACTTTCATTTTTATTAAGAAAACAAAAACATAATTTCAAAATCTATTTTAAATAATGGTTTGTTTTGTTTGTAAATCACTTTTATGTAAGATAATTTTTTTTTTTTTTTTTTTTTTTTAGTTTATGGGTTACATTTTTTTATTTTTTTTAAAATTTTTTTTTTTCTCTTTTGAATTTCTTTTATTTATTTATTTATTTCTACTTTCATTTTTTTAGAAAATAAAAATATAGTTTTCATCTAATTTCAAAATCTATTTTATTGGGTTAAATTAAATAATTGTTTATTTTGTTGGTAAATCACTTCCCTATTAGTTACAATTTAATTTCAAAATCTAATTCTAGTTAAAGGATAAGTGGCTCACTATAGAACCAACTTGGAACTCTGAAAAGAAGCTTTTCTTGGAGGAAGATGGACCTCATATTATCTGAATTTCTATTTTTTAGACTAATAGAATATCTGTATCTTGAATTTCTATAACAGGATTCAAACTCTTACATTGAGTTTGTTGGATCCATCCCCACCTAATGTAGTGGTCCGAAAAATTTGTGTCAGGTTCGGTTGAGAATCCGATCAAAACATAGAAACGTTTTGTAAAGCACATCTTATCTATTGTGGATTTATAATGCGGATGAATAGTATCTCCTTTGGTATGAAGCCTTTTGAAAAAACCAAATACAAATCCATGAGGGCCTAGTTGACTGTTATGACATTGAGGAAAGGTTAAGATAGTTTTTTCAAGCTTACTAATAGTTGTGATGGTATCACTAGGTCGCTTTTTACTCCCTCCGATACATTACTAGTACTATTTAATGACCTAGATTGGACTTAATAGTGCCCTTGTCCAGTAATAGGAATTTAGGAATCCGTACCATTAAGCTTGACCCCATATTAGTCAAGTAAGATAGTGCTTCAAGACTACTTCAAGTGCCATTATTGTGTGTGAAAATGGTCAAGGACCTTCTGAACAAAGTTGTTGTTCTGTAAACCCGTCTTGAAAGAGGGCAAGAGACCACATAGATAGAATTCATAGTTGGTCGGCCCATAGGGTCGCTCCCCCAAATTTCAGTGCGACTTTATTGTCCTGTGGAAGAGTTACTAGCTAAACTTACACATATGATGTTCAGGAGATATGATGTCATAATGTTCTTTTTGAGATAATTATGATGAGGTTGCCTCTCCAGATTTAAGATACTGATGATTCACTTCAAAGACAATCTAATCGTTCAGTCAGAAGAATAGAAAAGTCATACAGTAGATCCATGGTGCCATGATAGGTGAACGACTTCTAGACTCCCATTGGATTTGATGTAAGTAAGAGAACGATTTCTAGACCCGGTTGGATTTGTGACATGCATAAGAGTTGTTTGAAACTTTATGGCCTCCTAGAAGCTCCAAAATCTAAGCAACTTAGGCTTGGACTTCCTATGGCCTAGATTAAAACTAGTGGTAACTAACTAGGTCAAGGGTTTAGTTAAAGCCTACAAGTCGGATGCTTACTATGTCAGAGAGAGATTTCTAGACCACGATTAGGTTTTTGACATGGACCTCCCAGAAGCTCATAAATCTACCCACCTTAAGCTTAAGCTTAAACTTCCTATAGCCCAAGTAAGAGCTTGTGATAACTAATTAGATCAAGTATACTATTAGAGCCTACAAGTGAGTTGTTTACTAAGTATTTTGTACTCACAAGATATTACCTTTTTTAGGTAATTGTAGATTCGTTAGTTAAGGTGGAGGAGCATTTGGGAGTTGTGCGGTCATAAAAGAAGGTCGTCTTGGGTCCTTAGTCTTTTTCTTTTTGAGGTCGATGTTTGTTTTTCTATCTTATTTAGTAGTACTTACTGTGTACTAAACTTTTGAACAATACTTTAAATTTATAAATGTGTTCGTTTTCATCTTTTAAATGTTGTGGTGTTTGTTTTTAAATTCATGTAAAATTTTATCTTACCTTTCATTGGTCGATTAGTCAGTCCATGCCGTGATCCATGATTTGAAACCTCAAAAATCGGGTTATGACACGTATGGGAAAAATTAGTATAGGAGTTTATTGTGAGTGTCTACTAATTTCTAACACTTTTCACTAATCTTTGTTTCTTGATAAAATTAATTAGTAGAGATACTCTTATATTGGCAAGACAATCCTAATAATCGACTTACCATCGAAGTTTTTGTTGAAGCAATAACACTCGAAGAAAAGGAATTAACACCTTCTTCTACAAAATTCGAATCAATCAAGAGATAAAACTAGAATTAGATTACCTCTTAATACCCAAAGATCTAAGAGCAAGATTTAGAATTTTGTTCTAAATTGAGTCATTTCACAAACGAACTTTATCAAGAATTGATTAAATAGTTGGATCCAATCTACCACAAAAAATTTCAAATTTTAAGAGAAAAAATCTCAATGCGAGAATTCAAACTCGTTCATTAGTAGTCTTATTTTTATATACCATATTTTGTAGGTATTTATAGCTCTCTACAAAGAAACTCCAACCATTCATTAGGGTCATGATTAACAAGTTAACTCATCCCTCCCCTTTAAATGCCCACTAAACAAGTTAGGATTATGATTGAAGTTTGATACTCTCCACTACTCTTTAAATGTCCTCCTCAACAATTATAAAATTAAAATAATAAATAAAATTTTCAATAAACGTGTTATTTATGACAACCTCATGACCTACTCCAACTTTACAAAGGTTGATTTTGTAATTCATGAAACGAAGGTTGAGCTGAGTCTATTCAATTTTGTAGATGAAGAATGAACCCTTGTTGAATTTTCGTGTAATAAGTCCAATTGAAACTTGTAGAACGCCATGATCATTGTCACTTTCTCTTCCCACAAATGATACTTTTGCCTAAATTTCATTGTTGTAAGCTATCCAATTTCAAAAAACTAGGTAACAGATCAAACATTAATAATAGTAGATTGCAACTTCAAACCTTTCTATAAAAGACCTTTTTAGACGACCTCGTCTCTTACGTTGCAACATGACAACGATGACTAATGGTGCATCGAGTCATTTTCCCAAATTCAATATCTTTTCTTATCAAACATATCTCAACATGTATATATAAACCCGTATAATTATCTACGAAACCAAAGTTGGGTCGCTTCAAATAATGCAAAGGTTAGGAAGAATAAAACTTTATGGAAGTCTTTATGTCGTTACTTTGAGGAATATGCTCAATAAAGTGTGAGAAAATGAAGCAATTCACAGCGTAGTGGATGATATAGAATCATTATCCTCGACAAAAAGGGGAACCTGATTCCATTACCTTCTCTTTTTTATGTTCCATTCATTAATAAAATAATAAAGCTCTTTGGACACCAAATTTGATCTTATTTGGAAACACAAACAACTTCTTGAATACATAATTAACTAATACTTTTATTTTTCCCATCAACTTCTTCTTCAGCTCTAAAATTTTAAATCCTTGAAGATCAAACCGACCACTAGCCAAATCCCTGTACAAAGATGAAATAAAGATATGTTAGGAATAACGACTCTACACAATGGTATGATATTGTCCACTCTGAGTATAAATAGATCCCCTATAAACCCATAATCATTTCCTAAATTAGCCAATGTGGACTCTCTTCTAACAATCTTCAACAATCCTCACAGAACCTCCCTTGAGACCTATGGAGCCCTCAAACAGTCTCTCCTTAATCAAGGCTCGACTCTTTCTCTAGAGTTCTTGAACAAAGTACACCCTTAAGTCACTTTTGACTACACCTTCGAGGCTCACAACTTCCTTGTTCTACATTTAAGTATTCTACTGACATGACTAAGTTAAAGGACACGACTCTGATACCATGTTAGAAACCAAACCTCCACAATGGTATGATATTGCTCACTTTGATCATAAGCTCTCGTGGCTTTGCTTTGAATTTCCCAAAAAGCCTCATACTAATGAACATGTATTTATTACTTATAAACCCATGATCCTTCTCTAAATTAACTAACGTCTTCCCAACCATCATCATCAAAAGTTAAATATTGTGAAGAAGGGAGGTGTAATTGAACTTACATGATTTTTGGTTTGGAAGAAACTTTGAAGCGCCATTGAAAGAGTCACCAAAGAAACAATTGGTGGTGGTGTTGAATCCAGGAGGACAATTACATATAAAAGAATCAAGAGGGCCTGAATACCCACAAACCCCACCACTTTGTTCACAACTTGAACACCAACTTGGATAAACATTATCAATTGCAAACTTATATTTGATAGCAATTCCATATTTCCAGCTATCAGCATCCGACTCTCTACCATTAAAGCTATAAAACCCAGAATAAGAACCGCATTTAAGCTTCTCCAAGTCCATTTCAAAAGATGGCCCAAAATTCACAGGCGTGTAAACACAGCATCCAGAGATTGGAATATTGAGGCTAACAATTGGCTTGCACCCATACAAGAATCCACAAATGGGTAATCCTCGGTTGTCGCAAAGAGCGACCCGAGACGAGTTGTTTCGGTCGTTGAACATCCCGTTCGGGGAGTAAACAGGAGAGGTGCTTGAGCAGTCGAGTAGGGCGAAGATGGTATCGCCATGGAATGTGAATGGGGCGTCCCAGTCGAGGCCGAAGCCCTTGCTAGGCTGGTTGCAGTTGCAAGTAGACATGGTGGGGTCGGTTATGTAGAGGACTTGGTTGGCGTAGTCTATGTAGGAGATGGGGTAGCAGCCGGTATGAGTTGTGAAGGTTAGCTGTTGATGGTCGTTGCAAGTGATGTAAGGGTGGAAGCGTGGGTCACCGCAGCCGGTGCCGCTGCTGAAAGGGTAACGCAGCGGGATGTCGCCGCAGCTCTTTTGGCAAGCTTGGTCGGCGATGGAGGGCGAAAGGAAGAAGAATATTGTGAGAATTAGCAATGCATGAGGAGAAGGGAAGAGGGTTTGCTCCATTGTTTGTGGAAATGTTTGAGTCTTGTGGGATTGTGGTGTAGTGTATATATTTTGAGGTGGCTTTAGTATTGGTAGGGGTCAGCTAGGGTTCGCTTTTCTTTTCTTTTTGAATCATGGTGGCGCATAGAAGGGAAGTGTTCTTGTTTTAGTTGGAGATAAGTTTTGGAACTTTTGGTTTGCTTTTTCCTGTTCCAAAGCTCTCTTCTTCCACTCTTGGATGCCTTGATTTTAGTCATGATCTTCATTTATATACATTAATAATTGATGTGATTCCGTTGATTTCTGAATACCTAATTATTTGCAAGATAAAAAATAGCACCATGAGTGTAAGAAATACTCGATAAGCAATTTATTTGTATGTTTTTGTTGGATCTAATCTCCTATTCAATGTCCTTAATGCTATGTGTCAGTGTTGTGGTCCTAGAAATAGCCGATTCGATGGTCTTATTATCAAACCCTATCAAGCTTGTACGTAAGTTGTCCTTCTCATTCTATAGATACGAGTCATTTAGCCCTATCAGACTCATTCATTTTAGCCCTCATCATTCCTATTCTAAGGCATACTTCACCATGTTGGATGATGAAATTCCCACGTCGGCTAATTTTGAAAATGATCGTGGGTTTATAATCAAGGAATACTCTCTCCATTGGTATGAGATCTTTTGGGGAAGCCCACAGCAAAGCCATGAGACTTTATGCTGGAAGTGGATAATATCATACTATTGTGGAGAATACCATGCCCTAAACTTAGCCATATCAATAGAATCCTCAAATGTCGAACAAATGACTCCAAAAGAAAAAGGAGTTTAAGGCTCCTCAAGGCATAGTAAAAAATGACGAATATGCCAAAAAAATCAAAGAATACTCTTTCCATTGATAGAAATTTTGGGGAAGCCTAGAGCAAAACCATGAGTCATGTTCATGTAACAGGTACGAATCAAGCCATCCTATTAGCAACCACATTACTTCCCTAATATGTTCTTTACGTGTCTACTATTGAGTGCCAGAGTGCCAACTGGAAGGCTATGAATGGTTGAGGAGGAAATACTGTTTGTCTTTCTTTCTTCGGTTTCGGGCGATAATTTTTTGCCACTTCTGTCTAAGAGAATCCCATCCTCAGTCTTTGTTGAGTCTGACATCAGTGGCGTATGCTCAACAAGCTCACTATTCTGTCATTTCAGGCTATGAATATTTTAGGATAAGCCTCATTTTAGGCTATGAATGGTTGAGGAGGAAATACTGTTTGTCTTTCTTTCTTCGGTTTTGGGCGATAATTCTTGGCCACTTCCGTCGAAGAGAATAACCAAACAAGAATTGAGAATAAGCTAGACCTCCAATTGTCACTGAGACCACTTCAACAAGTGAGCTGCTTGCTCAGGCTAGAGAGGAAGTTCAAGTGGCTCTCCTTCGTCTGTCCTTGCCTGAGACGGTAAAGATTCCACCATCTCTCCCAATGGTACCTACCGAACATAGGACTCTTCCTGAGATGAGCTTCCCTACCCATTATTTATTTTCAAGCTAACTATGTCCATCTTCATTCTCAGGTACCAACTCCACAAAGTGCCAGACTATTAGGATCCACCATATCTATTCAATCCCCTTCAAGTGTGCACTTAACATCAAGGAGTATGCTCGCAAAGCTTTCAACAAGGATCAGACCTCCTTTTTCAGATGCTGATACCTTAACCTCTGACCTAGCTGTTAGATAAGATATTTTCTGGAATAAGCAAATCATAATGATTGCTGGGTCTATTTTCATTCGTTTTTTGATGTATTGCCATAACCTTCACTAATTGAGGTAAGTTCATAATCAAAGGTTGTGTCTTAAACTATCCCTACACTCGCCAGATTCTCAAGTGAACCTTAACGTGGATCATGGACCAAAGGATAGTGATTCATAAGGCTAATGCTCCAATATCTTGCACAATATCTCTAGGTCACATAGCGATTACCCAACGTTCATACATGGGCATTTGTTGAATTTCAACCACCTATTATGCTTTATAGGAATCAACTTAGGCAATCTTTCTAAACATGGGATAAAATCATAAATGTGAAAGTTCGAATGAATCAAGCATAATAATCGGACACACAATTGGAATTCTGGAAGCTCATATAATATACATACATGTTAAACCGGTCGAAATTCCATTCTACTTTGTTTAGTTCATTAATTCCTTAGCATTTTTCTACTCGAGATATACTCATATACACAAAAATTCATCAACGTGCATACGTGATAAACGGGTCAAAAACCCATTCAACTAGGCTTAGTTCACAAATTTCTTAACATATTTTGATCCTAAAACATATTAGCATACAATGAATGAAGTAGTCAAATTAAACTGCTCATGAAGAATCAAAATCCTATGCGAATTAGCTCACCCAAAAACAGTTACTTGTACCATTCGAAACCTCTCCTACCAAAAATCAACTCTTCATTAAAAGTTCTTACTTTTTTGACCCACCAACCTTTGACTTTATAACACACATTTACACCAATTCTATAGCATTTGCCTTCTTTGTTCCTCATTAGGAATGCCACAACTCTCAACACCAATCGTGAAAAATCAATTTCTTGTTGGAGGAACGACTACTCGTTAGAACTCAAATCCATCCTCTCTTCCGAATGAAATGATCCCAGTTTGGCCCACGACTCTCTACAATGGTATGATATTGTCCACTTTGAGCATAAACTCTCATGACTTTACTTTGGGCTTTTCCAAAAGGTCTCGTACCAATGGAGTTAGTATTCCTCACTTATAAACCCATGATCATTCCCTAAATTAGCCGATGTAAGACTTCCATCATCCAACCGCCCTTCCTTGTCCAATAGCTAACCAACTCTGCCCTCTTTTGATCGTTGGACCCCATTCAAAGAGTTTCTTTATTCAATAGAATAAGCAGATTAACTGCACTCTCGGATCAATCGGATCGATAAGTGAGTTGATTTTGAAGTATGCTGACATTTATTTGGCCCAAAATCTCACATGGGCCTCGGCCCATTTTCAGTATATACACATATTATTTTATTTGAAACGTGCAAATGTAGTAATTTTTATCTATAAAAAATTGATCGAATATGGTTAAAAAAATATATATATATATATTCAAGAGGTCAGAAATTCGAATTTGTATAATTTATGGGCTAAATTAAAAAAAAAAAAAATTTATCCAATGTGTGTGTTCTCGAGTGGTGGAAAAAAGGATGCCTTGACCCTGCAGGAGCCTTATAATGCCACAAGCTCTCACCTCATGAAAGAACAATCTCTCTCTCTCCTCTGTTTTTTTCTCTCTCTTCAATCTTCTCATACTTCACGTAACTCTCTGTTTCTCTCTGTTTCTCTCTGCCACAGCTATGGCGGACGGAGCAGTTTACGCGCCACCTTCCTCCGACGTGCTTGATTCCCTCATAATTCCCGGTAAGAATCTTCAATAATTAATGAGTTTTCCGGCAAATTCTGAGCTGACCCATTAATGTTTTTCAGGCGAGTTCATCGGAGAAACCAACGAAGACGAATTACTCGACGGACTATGGCGGAAAGCTTCAAAAAAACGGCGGCTTTCGGTGGATCAAGTTCAATTTCTTGAGAAAAGCTTCGAAGTGGAAAACAAACTAGAACCAGAGAGAAAAACCCAATTAGCTAAAGAATTGGGTCTTCAGCCAAGACAAGTAGCGATCTGGTTCCAAAACAGACGAGCTCGTTGCAAAACAAAGCAGCTAGAAAAGGATTACTTGTCACTCAAAACCAGCTATGATAATCTCAAATCCAGCTACGAAGATCTTGTTCGTGAAAAGGAAGAACTTGAAACAGAGATTCGGAATTTGGAAGAGAGATTAGCGAATGGAGAGAAAGGGAATCGAATTGATTGTTGTTGGGAGAATCAGAACTCATCAATGGCGGATTCTTCACATGGGTTTGAAACAGAGCTGTCGGATTGTTTCTCGCAGGTTGAAGAAGAGAATTTAAGTGGGGATTTGTTGCCGATTTGTTTCCCCAAATTGGAAAGCTGTTATTATGATGATGATTTAACAGATGGTTGTTGTAATTTAGTTGGATTCCAGATCGAAGATCAAGCCTTGGGTTTCTGGCCTTGTTGAGACAATTTTATCTGGAATTACTCTGTTTTTCAATTATGGTTAAATATAGGTATTTTAAAGCTAATAAACTTAAATCATGGGGGGGTTTTGTGAATATTTTTGCCTAAATATATTATTTTCTTTTTTTTTAATTATAAATGTTACATTAATAATTAAAATTCCACCCATCAATCTAAAATATTTGTATATATATATATATAGATTTTATAAAATAAAATATATTATAATTTAATAGACATAAATTTTGAGTTTTACCTGATAAAATATTTGTAGAAATAATCATTATATAATACATTTTTATGCATCGGATTTATTTGGATATACCATTTAAAAAAATAGGGAAAAAATAATTATAATAAATTTAAAGTTAATTATATATCAAATTTGAATTTATATTTAATAACACTTCGAGAGCAATTTCACCTCTCTTCAAATGTCATTTATTTTTATTATTTGTTGTAATAGCTTAAGTCCTAAGCATCTATTGTCTTTTTTGAGCTCGATTTGAGGTGGATTTTCTTTAAGGTTTTTAAAACATATCTACTACTACAGACAGATTTTCACACTCTTATAAAAAATGTCTCGTTCCTCTCTCTAACTGATGTGAGATGTCAAAATTCACTCTCTTTCAAGACCAACATCCTCGCTAGCACACTGTCTGGTATCTACCTCCTCTATGAAGCTCAGCGTATTCGCTAGCACACTGCCTAGAATCTCCCCCTTTAGTACTGAGAGTCCTCGCTAGCACACCGTCAGATGTCTAACTATGATATCATTTGTAACCGTCTAAGCCCACCACTAGTAGACATTGTCCTCTTTGAGATGTCTCTTTTGGGTTCTCAAAGTTTTTAAAACGCATTCGTTAAAGAGAGGTTTCCACATCTTTAGAAAAAAGAGGCACATGAATGAACAATAACCTCGAAAAAAAATGTTTAAAATAACATAGTTATTACTTATACCAACAAAGTGCATCATTATTTTCAATGACCCAATTATCAAAACACTAAAATTAAGCATATTTGGCTTAGACTAATTCTATATTGAGTAACTACATATGAATAACTATAAAACACGGAGTACCAAATTCAAATTCTAAATACGATCCATATGAAAAAATAATAATAATAATAATAAATTGATTTTTAGGGTTTGTATGAAAAATAAAAAAATAATAATAAAAGTCAAAATTGCCATTTGTTTTGTTTGGTAGCTACGCCTCGACTTTTAAAAGGCTACAGCTGTTAGGGAAAGGTGAGGTGACACTTAGATTTAAACTTTAAATTTAATATAAATATAAATAAAATAATATTTTGGATAATATTATATATTTTTATATAGAAACGTCACGTTTGTTTCTTTGCCACAAGATTGTGTCCACTACACTAAAATCCTGTCCCTGCAATCATCTGTGGACGCGTGGAATTTCTCGCTCCTAAAATTAATTCTCTTTTTCTCTCTATAATAAATAAATAAATAATCTAATAATTTAATCCATTTGGTCTTTAGATTCTGCTTTCAAATTAATTAAGAAAATTTAAGAGTAAAATTTGACTCTAATCGGTATTTTTTAACTTAATCATCACTTGAACTATATTTCTTTCGAAGGCATTGGTTGCTTGATTAGTTTGATCAAGCTTATGTTCGGATTGCAAATCAAATGCAGCAAGACATTATTGCTATCGAACTTGTTTCAATTACAATCTCGATTGGTTGAAAAATGATCAATAGTGTTGTTTTTCGATCATAATTACACACTTGTCTCTTAAAAGATATAGTTTCCATGCCCTTAGACAATTACAATCTCGGTTGGTTGAAAAGTTCATGATTGAAGTTGAGACTCTTCATTCTCGTATGACTTTGATCTTACCAACTTCTAGATTGATCTTTCTACACTCGGTTATATGTTCCATGAAACTTATACGTTCTTGTGCGAACAAACATTTCGAAGATAAGAAATGTTGCTGATGAAATGGATGTCCTAGCGGAAAAATTGTGATGTTGAATTAGTACTTTGGATCAAAGTAGTTACTCAATTGAGTTAAAGTAATTTTGTGTTAGTTGATAATAGAATGACTTTGACTATTTATAATTCAACAGTTCGATTGGAACCAAGCTCGATACACTTAATTTGTTAGCTTCCAAGCCATACGAGAAGCTTACTAGGCAAGTACTTGCTCACATGGTGCAACTATTATTGAAAATTTCCATTCTTAAAACTTGTCGCTCTTTATTAGGGATGTACACCGGTTAGGTTGGGTTGAAAAAATCTCTTATACCAATTCAAAATTTTAAATTAGTTAGGTGGGTAACCAAAACAACTGGAATAGAATTTACAACTCAATTAACCCAAACCCTCTGTTTTCGGTTTAATTAATATAAAAAAAAATATAATCCAACCCAACCTTTCTAGTATTGGTTGGATAGTATGGATGGGTCCAACTTCCCCCTACCCGATAGTTATATGCAGTAAGCCGTTATTGTTGTCTTTTGCTTATATTCCCATATAACGTAAATTTCAATTTCTCAATTCTTGCTTTCAAAATGTCTCTACCCTCGTTTTCTAAAACTTTCTTTTTGAACTAGGACTAGAGGCTCGAGCATACGTTGCTTGGTTGTAGACGATGTGAGAACGAATAGACTTAACTCACTTGTTGCTGAGAAGTGAGTGTTGTATAATTGTAAGTCCATGCGATCGAGTTATCAAATCATATGAACAATATCAAAACTAAAATTAAAATGGTCAAATTGGTTTCAAATTTCAATCTTCAATTGCCATCCAAACATAAGCTTCTAAAATTAAAAAAAAAAAAAAACAAAAAAAAAACAACAACAACAACAACGTATAAGCGAGTGGGGAACATAAAAGCCACCTGGCAGTGAAATATCATTCCACGTGTCAAGATATGAGATACTAACAACACCCATTTTAGGAAACCAACGATCGTGAGCCTATGCCTCATAAGGATTCAGATTCATCTCCCACTTACTCCACATTGTCCACGTCAGTACAAACAAGTCATTCCACGTGTCAAAAATTATCAGATGCCAACAACACCCATTTTCAAGAAACCAATGACCGTGAGCCACATGTTCGTGTGTTGATTTGTAGCAAAAGGATTTAGATTCATCTCCCACTAACTTCCACATAGTCCACGTCAGTACATGCCACGCAAAGGCAGATCCATAAACCCTCTGGCCCACGTGGCCTCAGGGCCTACCTGGAGTTTCAACGTGGCAGTAATCAGCGACGCTAAGTAGGGCCCAGCGGAAAAGGAGATAAGATGAGTGGGGTTATGCGTTGAAGAATAAGAGACAGGGGTCCATGTGGGCAGTGACAGGACGAGATTGAGAAATTGACGTGGGATCCATGCACCCACGTGCGGACCATGTCCCATTGTTAGTTCGGACTCTGCTTTGATTTAACACACGCCTTCAAAACCCTAATAACCTGTCAACACCACCTTTTCACCTTTAGATTGGAACCTAGCATCTTCGATCACTGCACATGTTATATGAAAATATCAATCTCCATGTTTGTGTCAATGTCGATATCGATAACTATAGTCTATTGAAATATCGACGAATGTTCTCGTGGAAAAACCACCGATCATAGAAACTTGTAGACTAGATATTTTATGAATTTTTCAATAAAACTTTCGACTATATCTTTAACGACTTGAACGTGTACTTCAAAAGATTAAAATTCGTGGATTTGGTCAACATAGTTTAAGAAGAGACTTCTTTTATGCATAAGTCAATATTGATCGGTCCTTGTCTAGGCTATGACCTGCTTTCACGTTGTATTACTTTATTATTATTATTATATATTTTTTGTACAATCATTCGACAAAATCATGTCTACTCTTATCATACATGATTTGTCTCAAAATGTGCTATAGGGGGAGACCAAGTAGTTGTTTAACCTCATGTGACTAAATGTTGTAATATCTCATACCCACATGTTTTTAATGCAATTGACATTCAAAATGTTGAGTTTCAAATTATTTAAAATTAATTTATTCATTCATGTTTTAATAAAACATTTTCTCTCAAAACATAACTCGAGGCTCGATCGTACATTAGAATTGTTCGCGAAGTATGATTTTACATGGTTGACTTGTTCGCTGGGTTAGAAAAGGTGTCATACATTTGTTGTCCCGCTACCAAGAAAATGTGGTTGTGACAAGTGGTTTCAGAACTTAGTTAGCTCCTTGACCTATTGAGATTGAAACAATGCTGACGACAAAGTTGACTCCTAAATCGCTAGCCGATCAACTTACCTTGATGGAAGAAGAAATGACGGTTCTTAAAAGAAATGCCCAACTCTATGCATTTCTTAGAAACCCAACTAGTAGAACTAGATGAAAAAGTTTGTGATATAGAAGCTAAAAAGCCTAACCGAATGAGTTTTCGATCAAAGAGTTGGTATTTAAGATTTGATACCAAATGATATGATATCAGCACAAGGGCTCTGATAACAAATGATATGAAATCACTACAAGGACCAAAGACTTGTCAGGAAGTACAAAGGATCAATCAGTCAAAGTTCTCAAGAAGATCGGGTTTACGTCTTACATAGTGATTACCCATATGGATGAAAATTGAACTACTAATCCTTGTGAGTAACTTAGAACCTTACCACTCAGACCTAGACGATGAGAGTAGTAATTCCATCACGATTTCGATAGCCATACTAGTGATTTGGAGGAGATCTCTCACGAAGTATTCACACTCTGTATTATGATGTTAGAAGATGGTTGCATGCACACTCTGTTCTTTATCTAGGACCCATTTCTATGATAAGCCTAGGGAATTGATGTTAGGAGTGATAAGTCACCCCAGCCAGACTTAACCTTCCCTTAGGAACTTAGCGGATTACCACGGCAACAAGGTACCTCAAGAGTGTTCATAGATTGCTAGTGTGAGAACGGTATCTATAGCTTCCTGGGAGGACCAAGGGTTCCTGACTAGTCCTTACTGCTCTTAGCCATTTTGCATGGGAAATGTGTCCCCACGTCGTACAACCCATTAGCTGCATGGGAACGGGTTGGGTCGCGCCCCTCATAGGGAGACTATATGGGCTTAGGGT